TGTCTACACCACATGACTTCCTTGTACGGAATATTAAATTATACGCATTTTGTTCTTGAATTTCATTTAAATTGATTGGATTGAATAAAATCTATTTCGTCGACAGCGCATAAACACAATAGAATAAATGCACTCTTTAAAATTCACTATATTTGTTTATTATAACGACACTCTGAATGCACAAAATTTATATCATTTGAAGAATTATCTTATCGTTGCCAATGTTCCATTCAAATACTATAATAAAGCTAGAACGATGTATGAAAGAAATTAAGCAAACAAAACAGAAAAGAAACAGTTTTTCACAGACGATTTAGTATTTCTCATTCAATTAATTCAGTTCACACTTCGCGACAAGGCAAAAATACATAAAAAGTCAAAATATCTGTATTAAAAATTACGAAGTAAATCTTAAACACTTATTTCCTCCAAAAAATTCCAGAAAGGATTAAGCATGATTTAATTCCAATAATAAATGAAGGCGTTATTTTTGTTGTTGCGAAGCTTAGTCTCCCCAGATTGGCAACAAATCTACAATTCTGCTGTTTCAAATGTAAATAAATATGTCCGCCATGTTATTTAAAACTTAACCGCATTTAAACAGCTTTTAAATTGTTGATAAAAGTACAAATATTGCTTCCAGAATTACGAAAGGCATAAAAAACCTTAACCGGCAAGATAAGAACAAACATAATTCAATCATTTTTAAAGCAAAAAAAAATGTACAATTTACAAACATATAAGAGTAAAGAAACTGAGATCACTGTGCCGAGTAACAGAGTAGGATATATATATAAATATATTTATATACGTTTGGTGCGGCCGATTGCAACCAAAATACGAGGTGCACATCTACATGTTATAGCAGTTCTATGTACAAAATTTCAACGTTCTGAGGCTACTCGTTTTTGAGTTATGCGAGATACGTACGTACGTACATAAGTTCGTACAGACGCCACGAAAATTCTCTTCAGAATTCATTTTAAAGCAGTTTTATAAATTTTTTTTGGAGGAAAAGAGTCTTTTATTCTGTCCTTACATACAGATATCACGCAAAAACATCGTTAAATTGCATTCGATAGCAGTCAAAATGGATATTTTAGTTGAAATATGCTGCCTGAAACTTTTCGCGATTACAATACTTCCTTTTTACTTCGTACAAGGAAGTAAAAAAGAAAATATTTGTAGAACATGGTTTTGGGGAAAATTTCCAAGCCGGTTCCGTCTCTTGCCAGCAGATATCGTACATTTACATGAAATGACTTGTGTCACAATAAAAAAGACCTATAAAAGTGCGAATTTCAGTTAGAGTTGTGCTATGAGCATCTCTCTCTCTTCGAAAGAATAGAATTCGAAAGAAATCTTCAGAAATAGATGCAATATAAATATTTGTATAACTGGACGACTTTCAGCAACATTTGTTCACTTAGTAAAAGTTACCATGGTTCATTTGGAGTCTACACATTTTTCGCTTTACCGATGTTTCCAGGCAATTTTGTAAAAATATTATGAGCAGGAGTTCTTTCTTTAGACTTTCTTTTTACTTTAGACCTAGAAAACTTTAGATTTTCTTCTTACTATTGGGTTTTTGTCTTTTCCAATAAAGCAATAAATGTCATTCTCATTTTTGTTTTCAGAATGCATCTCGATTTCTGAATCAGTGTCATGAGAACTAAAAATTTTATTATAACTTTCATCAGTTTCTTCAATGGAGTCTTTAACAGTTGATACATCAAATAATTTTTGCAAACGTAACATTTCTTCCTTATAGGATAAATTACGCGACATGTTTGCTGTTTTCTTCGCTACCACAAATGAATTACCGTACAGCAGTGCGAATAGACGCGCTGGGTCTGAAAGACCCGATCCGATTAAAACAAAACTTCAAATAAAATTTCCGGCAAAAAACTTCGGAAACATAAAGAGGATGTCCTTGGAGGAGAGACTACACTGAATTACGACCACTTGGGGAAAATAGGGGCGTTTTCAGAAAGGTTTCTTTAATCGGCCGGGTCCATTGGACCCAGCGCGCGCGCTCACGGTTTAAGAAATTCTGTTAAAAATCACAAGAAAAGTTTTCAAATTTTCATACATTGATTTCATTTTGCGTGTAAATTCAATTAACAAAGATTTTTATCTAAAGTTTAACTGCTTTGCTATTAGTGGTAAACCCACAGAATATTAAGTAGTATACTGGTGTCACACATGCACTTACTTTCCATTTTATCTTAGAAAACATGAGTAAAACCCAAAATGAGAATTAAGAGCAGTTAGTGAACTTTCCCTATACTGCAGGAAAATTTGATCTTGGAGAAAAGGGAAGAGCATTTATTTTGATTCCATAATCTTCAGTTTCATAAAAACTGTAGTCATTTTTATATTCTTTGTGTATTATTCCAGTATCTTTTCAATTTTGCGGTCTTGGAAAACAAAATTAGCATTAAGAGCCTTAGTTTGATCACTTTCCAGTTATAAAAATATTTTAGAAGGTTTAGCTCAGTTTGGTTTAATCGAAACACTAATTTTAGACTGCCAGATGAATTTTCAACCTGTCTTTATAAGATTTGTGTTTAATTAGACAGTCATGATGGTTTGACCCTTAATAGTAGCTTCTTCTTTCCGCAGTCCTCACCAGAATGCAAATTAGTCATTGTGTTTTTAAGTTGAGGGTTTGAATGTTTAGAGCTTCTGGCAGCCTTGTCATGCTATTACTTACTATCGCCAACCCTGCATTAAGTATATTTCCAGCTTCAGCCATCTTGCAAGTTGATGTTTAAAAATATACGCCAGTAATTATCTTGAGCTAACATAAGTAGTGTATTTTAAGTGTACTTTCCGACTACATTACATCGTTTGAATTTAGCATTAATTTAAATACGCACATATAGCCTACCTGACGCCCAAACAGTGCTTTATGTTCATTAAGAGTTTAATGAAAAAAAAGTTAATTTACTTTTCATAAGACTTAACTGTTTGTTTTTAACTAAATCTATAAGTTGCTTCCGGTGTCTAGTAGGGTCTTGCATGACATTAATACATGCTTCTAGATACAGGTACAGGTTGAAATGCAATATGGCGCCCAATGTTTCCTATAAGTAAATGGGTTTAGCCCTATTACACTTTCATTTTTATTAATTTAGAATGGTAATAGATATATAATAGTTTACAGTCGGTGTCTTTGCACTTACAAACTTTGGAGCCATTTCCAGAATTTTGGTAGAACAAATTACGTTTTTTTTTTTTTTTTTTTTTTTTTTTTTTTTTTTTTTTTTGAGTGTGCGAAATTTTGTCATAGTATATAATTAGTGATATTAAGATCAGGCTTATAATAGATCATTCTTTTAATAGTTGGTCATTTGTAGCTTATGTTTGTATTATAAGGTATTTCTCCCACCTTCTTAGCGAGCTTTCGTGGTATAGTGGTCGGCACGCTTAGCGCGTAATTGAGAGGTCTGCGGTTCGATTCCCGGTGAAGGCGTTGCATATTTTTCATCTTACCTGCTTCCAAAAAATACTTATGTCTCTACAGTGGCGCCCGAACTAAAAAGGGATGTTGGATGATGATTCTCTTCACCCAAGATTCGGCGATTGGGTCCCCTAAAAAACCCTAGTCGTTCTTCAAAAGGGGGAGTATATAAGGTATTTCTCCCATCTTCTTAGCGAGCCTTCGTGATGTAGTGGTCTGCACGCTCAGCGCGTAATTGAAAGGTCCGCGGTTCTATTCCCGGCGAAGGCGTTGCATATTTTTCCTCTTGCCTGCTTCCGCTACAGTATATTCATGATTCGTAATAGTAAAATTTATTTGTAGTTCGTAATAGGAGTATTAATAGTTAATCTGTGAGGTTATAATAATTGGAGTTATTACAGCAGAACTTTACATCTTTACCTTTCCAATACCAGTACTTGCAGAAGACTAAAGTTAAGAATTCATTTGAACCTTAGCTTGAAGTTTCAGCTAAAAGCAGCTAACAAAATTAATTTCCGCTACTTGAGAGACAGTCAGATAAAAACAATCCAAATTATTTATTGGACAAAGTATATATTTAAAGCTTTTCCATTATTCCATGAATACTTAATTTCAGCACTTACTAACTTGTAGCAATAGTGCTCAAGGCAGGCAGTAACAAAAGAGTTTCCACATGACGGAAATTCTCAAGCCTTTCTCCTAAACTTATATTTAAAACTCATTTCATTTAGATATTCTAGTGAAGTATCAGTACTGCAGGCAACATTTAACATAGGAAATAGTGTCTTTATTAAAATTAAATGCAAGAGGCTTCATGTTTTGCTAAATATCTGGTCAATTAAAATTTGTAGCACTATCTCCTCCATATCTTGCTACGGTGCTTCATCATGTTGAGGGCACTGCTGGGAGAAATGAGCAAATACATCGGCAGCCTAGCTTTTGGTTGGGCCTCCCTTAGCATGAAGGCTATTTTAATATGCAGAGCTAAATCATGGGTGTCACAATTCCGGATTTCTAATGATATTTACTCTTTTGCTTTTCCCCTCACTGCAGCTATTACTTTTTTTTTTCTTTTATTTCTCCACTGGTCTCCTTTTCGGAGAATGGGGTTCAGTTTGAGATGCATTTGCAAAACTTTGTCTCTGGCTTACCATGGTTTGCGTAAATTCTGGTCTACTACATAGAGACCCGTGTGGCTGGGAAGGGGGATCCTGGTAGATGAGGGGTGAGGTTCCGTCCCTAGCACCCTACTCTGACCTCAGCTAAGAATTATCCTGTTCCAAACAGGTGGCACTTAACCTAGTTCTAGTGTCAATCAGCTGTTCTCTTGTCCTAGGATATGCTCTTCGGAAAAGGGGCTTCTATTTGCAAATAAGTATCGTAAGTGGTTTGGTATAGTAGATTAAGTATTTACAATTAACAATATTTATTCCTTCAAAAGAATGCTATTTTTCCTCTAATGTGAAATCCTTGCATGCATGAACTACTTCAACGATGTTAACTTTATAAAATGTAATAAGTGATAAATCTTTAGGTATGTGCTATGCAGAAAAAACAGCTTCGAGAAGCCTTTGAGAAATTTTTCTATGAACCTTCCTCAGAAGCTACAACTAATACCTATGAAATATTGGTTTCACATGCTACTGCCATACGATACTTCATTTGCAGGCAAGTCTAAGATAATATTCTTTCATTTTATGTCATTTATAACTATGTAACTTAAAACTCAAGTACGAGGATTGCTATTTATATTTCTGCCTTAATAATGAAAAAACAAATGTTTATGTTCGAAATGTGTTTTATTGTTTTTCGAAGTATTTTCCATGAAGATCAGTCCACTTTATCATGCGTGTGAATCAATTTTCGAAGCACGTTTTCCACTCCGATTGAGGTAACTGCAAAATATGTGTTTTGAATGCATCAACCGCTTCTTCGGGTGTCACAAATCGCTGACCACGTAATTCATTTTTGATGTGAGGGAATAAAAAAAAGTCATGAGTGCCAAATCAAGGCTGTACGACGGATGAACCACCAATTCGATGTTTTGGCCCGTCAAAAATACCTTTGTTTGAGCCGATGTGTGAGAGCTCGCATTGCTTTTTTCGAATTCCTCCGATGACGTCTGGTAAAAAAATGGTCGTGTACTGCCGAAGAAACAGGCAACCATTTGCTTCAATGGGTTTCTTCCGCGAACACACGGGTCAACTTTTGTTGGATTTGCTCGTCTTGGAAGACCCATACTGTCGGCTGCTGTTTTGTTTCGAGCTTATATGCATAGATCCATGATACATCACAGTCTAGATGTTATACACAGCCTTTGATGCAGTTTTAATGTATTTTTCCAACATTTCTTTGCACCAATCGACACGAGCCTTCTTTTGAGCGTTTGTCAGAATATGTGGGATCCAATGCGAACAAATCTTTCTTACGGACAAATTTTCATGTAATATCTTATTGATGCTTGTCATATTAATGCGCAAAGATGCCTCAGTCTCACGATATATCACATGGCGATCTTGCTTTCTCAGTTCACGTACAGCATCGATATTTTCTGGCACAACAACCGATTTTGGATGATTTTCACGGAATTCTTTTTGGAGAGAATGTTGACTGCGATTGAATTAGTTATACCAGTTTTTTGCAGTGCTGTAAGATGGTGCTTTATCGCTGTATTAATTGATCTCTTGTCTTGATAAGTTCACTGAAGCACTCTTGTCTTGATAATCTTAATTGATCTCTTGTCTTGATAAGTTATGAAAAATAATCGCACGAATGTTCAAATGTTCACGAGTCGATTCCGTTTTGTGCCCGAGATTAATTTTTAAATTTACTGTAGAGTACACAAATCAAGCTAAAATGGCAAAATGTTCTGAAGGAGTTCTGATCAAACTTTCGACTGGAATCATCTGCAGACGCCTAGCAACACTTACTGTTGTTAGGGCTAGAAATATGAATAGCAACCTTCGTATTTAGATTTGCCTTTATGAAAAGTATACTAATTTTACAAAACACGAGTTTACTCTGGGAATTCTCTCACGATATTTGGTATCTTGAGACATAACTGTTATGCTTGAAATTTAATGAGATATATTCCGCAAGAGAAGAAGAGGAAAAATGTGGTCACGTGTTTAAGAACAACAACATCCGCATGGGCTATGTTTACAATGGAGTCGATAACAGACATTCCGCTGAAATTAATTGATTTTTCGAATTTATGAATTTATGGCTATTGCGAGAAATTAAAAGATATACTTGGAAATGATTTCTCTTTTCTTGGTGTCAACAAGTAGGGTCTTTTGTTGTTATTCAAGGAAAAACACGTGATTAATATTTGTTTCAAAGTAATGCCTGATATCACGGTACTTATAACAAGTAGTGTTAAGGCCAAAATGAAGAAATCAATTAATTATGAAACAATTGTGCAAATTTCTGCAGAAAACAAGGTAAGATTTTTGTTCTTTTTCCCCCCCCCCCCCCCCCCCCCCCCCCCCCCCCCCCCCCCCCCCCCATTTATGCGGAAGCATTATATATTTTTAAGTTATATATTAAGTTATCAGTTAATTGAAAACTATTCCCAAGACCTTGATAACGTTTTCCAAACTTTTAAATTTAAGTGTAATAATAGTATACTATTATTATAGTTCATGAATAGTTGTTCTAAATTACTGAAATAGCAGAATTCGGGAAAGATCTGTGTATCTGCAAGAATATAAATACAAAGCCAATTTTCTCTCATTAATATTACTTCGTGTCATAGAACATTTTATGCTGCTAAAATTTTATTAATTTCATCAGGCTATGTTTTAATATTTTAGCTGTTGTAATTGATTTTTAATAAATATCGGGATGTTGATTTTTTTAATACCTTTCACTGTAGATATTAAGGATACTAACAGCTGTAATATTAGAAACATCATATACTGAAACATTGTAATATAAAAGGATGCTTTTATAAGAATTATATTTAATTATAAATTTTCATGGGAGATTTCTGAGTTTTTTATTTTAAATATTAAATGAGCATGTTATTTTAGTCCTTGAAAATCAGTGATTGTGTCAGTCATAACATGTGCCTTAAGTATGCCTTAGAATATTCTATAATATTACACTAGTCTATTTCCTATGGTAATCTTTTCAATAAATACATTTAAAATCTTTTTAAGCTCATGATTTATATAAAAAATTCTGCACATAAATTATGTAACTTACAAGTTAAAATAACTTCAATTTATTTTTTGAATATTTAAAATGTATACAGATAGTACTTTTTATTTTTTATTATTATAAAATGATATAAAAATTATTAGTTTCACAGCTAGTACTGCAGTGACCTAAGTTGCACAAATCTCTATATTTTTCTGTGTGACATTCATAGTATACAAAATGTGTTAATTTGCAGTTTATACTATCAATAGGATAATAGTCAGCTGCTAAAAATTAAATTTTAAGTTGTATAAAATCATATATTAATTTTGAACTGCGCAGAACATTGGCATCGTTATTCTTACATGATTTTAAGGGCCAACTGCATTTATAGTGCTCCGGAAATTTAACTATTACGATTTTTAGAAACCAACTATTTACACTGTTCTTAAGCTCATAAAATTATGACTTAAAGACCACTCTATGTAAACATGATTTAATGCATTAATTTTTACATTTTTTATAAATGAATTAGTTATCAGAGCAGGGAATGAATTCATAAATAAATATTAACAATCAAAACATGGTAAAGCAGCGAGCAAACGAGTATCATGAAGATAACAATAACATATGAGTAAACGTAATTATACCAACCAAAAGAATGAACAGTTAATTAATGGATGAAAGAACAATTAAAGATGAAATGGAAATTTCATAACTAATTAAAAATAAGCAAAGTTTCCGAATTTTCAACACATCTACTACAGCGCAAGCTTCTTTGTTCACATTAGAAGTTCTTATATCACGTGACCTCCGACGTCACCGGAATGTATCTCATTAAAGCTTAGTGAAAATGTATTGACAATGCTAAATGTTGTATTTTTGTTTTAACTCTTAATTTAAAATGAAATGTAAGAAATTAAAATTTCAGCAAATTTAAACTGACCATTCTGTGCATTGCTGGACCTGCTTTCAGTAAAATGATATTTTTATGTTTGTAATTTTGTACTTATTGAGTACTTTATTAAGCATTGCTAATAAGCAGTTTGTTGTGTCAATGAACCCGATAGTCTCTGGAATTTTTGTTTCATAAATATAGCATTTATATTAAACTAAGAATGCCCTGTATGTTGTTTTGAATTATGTAAGTAATGTAAATATTTGATGTGTTTTCTGTAAATATATTTGTTATTTCTATGTAATTTTGTATAATAACAGTAAAAACAGATACTGATAAAGGTGGCTGCAGGCATTTGTTTTAGGTTCCACACTCTGTAGTTGCTTTTCATATGTTACGCTAAACTATGCTTGACAATTTCAATCAGCTAAATATTAATCCCAAGTGTGTAGTTCTACATAGCTTCTCAGAATAAAATGCGGAATTCTACATTTGGTTCATTGACTGCAATAAAGCATGTGAGCCTTATCTGTCCCGCCTTTGTGAAGGTGGTTTTAAGGGTAATTATATAATATTTATATTATTTATAGAGAATATCACAGGCAGCTAATGTGTTCTTTGCAAAACAACACCCTGATAAATCATCGTTGCTTATTCACTCAGCTATCAGTAGACACAAAATTTTGTGAAAAAACTTTTGATACTGTAAGTTGGAGGGTATTCCATAAACATAAAACTAACTTTCTACCTGAACCTTGTAAAACAAAAGAATCCCAGTGTAGAGACATTAGGTTTTTTGGGGAACTGTAAAAATGAAAAATTAACAACGCCTTCGCCGGGAATCGAACCGCGAACCTCTGAAATACCGGCCCAGTGTGCAGAACCACTACACCACGAAGGCCTCTAAGAAGGCGGGAGAAATACCTTACCAGTATGTGAATATTCATAATGTTTCATGAAAGCTACATATCTTTTAGCTAATGCTACTTTACCCAGTAAATTCCTAGAACAAAACAACTTTAGAGTTTATGTTTACTCATTTTTCATAGGAGTGAAAATGTTTTTATAAAATCTCTGGCTTAGTTAAAGAAACTTTGTAATTGGAAATACGTGTCAAGATCAATATTTAAAAGAAAAAGGTGTGTAATTACTTTTTCCAAGCATCCTTAATTTGATGCTGCTGTTATTCCTATTTCTAGGAGAATGAAAGTGATTGTTTGTTGGTAAGTTCAATAATTAATAATTATTAAATAGCTTACCTTGAATTTTCATCGACTTATAGTTACCTGGAAATACTTGAATTTGACACAGTAAAGAAACTCAAAAGAATTGAATAAGATTTTGACTTTATCAGCTATTCGAATTGTTTACATGAGCTCATTCTTTCTTAGCATCAAATACTAGTCGTTTGTTTTTATTTTATCTATTGCCACAAACACACGGGGGGGGGGAGATTACGAATTAAACATTTGGCGCGAGGGCAGCGCCATCTACAGAAAAAGATAAAATGAGGCATAAATATTTTTAAAACTGAACATTTCTGCCATCCTCCGTGCTGAACACTCAAGTTCAGGAATGTCTACTTAGGAAGAGGACAGCATTTGGAAATGGGGCGTCGATAAAGTCCAGTTGACGTTTTCACTTCAACAACTCGAACGACTCCGTCTTTTCCAGAAAAAACTCCTGTAATTCTTTTATGATTCTACTTGAAAGGAGGAAGAGAATCCTCTTTGAGATAAACCAAGTCATTCACTTGAATATTGTTTGCCCGCAAAGTCTACTTTTTTTGTTATTGTAGTTGATTCAGATATTCCTTCTGCCATATTGACCAAAACTGATTACGAAGCTGTTGAATCAGATGCCATCTTGACTTTAAACAAAGAGACTTCGTTGGAGTTTTCTCAGGAAAGGAAGTTACAGGAGCACCTTTTGTTTTTTGAAGTAATCAATGAAACGTTGAATGTTCCATTTTCGAATATTGTTTTTAGATAAAACACTGCAGCATAGGCATGTTCAGACGCATCGCAAAAGCCGATTAACTTAATATTTTTAAAAACACTGTTTTTCATCCTGAATCATGAAATCTTGATTTCATCTGAAAGTTCTATTTGAGATTTAAATAGATTCCATGCTTGGGAAATATCATTAGATAATAAATCATCTCATTCAATATTTTTCTTCTATGAATGCTGCATTAAGATTTTAAATTGAACCGTTGTAGGTGATAAAAACCTAAGAGGATCTTAAATTTTCGCGATAGTTGACAGAAGTTGACGTTTTGTTAAAACACCATCCATAGGTGGGTTTATTCTAATTCTGAATACATCTTCTTTAGCATCTCAAATGATTCCTAGAATTGTATGGATTTGACTTTCTTCACTCTGCCAAAGGTCCGTTTGGCTTCTTAGTTCTTAGGTTAAATATTCGATGACTAACGGTTCATTAGATACCGTTTTTCTTATTGGAAATCCGCCTTTCTTTATTAATTCGATAATTTGTGAAACTTACTGTTTTGCTTCCTCAATATTCTTCGTCCCTGTGAGAACATCATCTACATCTTCCAGTATGACTCTCGAAGCTTCTGGAAAACTCGGAATCAGATGCTGGTTTTACAAATTTTAAATTAAATAATTTTCTACACTGAGAAAATCCTAATTCTCTTTGGTTACCATATCTGTCAAGTAAAGTATTCCAAGCATTTTTATAATTTCCAGAGGTTATTGCGAATCCCTTAATAAGTCTTGCAGCATCAGACGAGAAGATATTGCAATTTTTGAATGTCAGTTAAAGATACATTAGAATCAACAGAATTTAAAAATATGGATTTAGAAACTCAACTTGGATTCAAACTGGCCAGAAAACGTTGGAAGATCATATTTCGGAAACTTTACATTCACATAGGATGTGACAAATTTTGCCGTCTTATCATCATTGAACTGTGATTCTTTATTAAATGAATTTAGAATTTAGATATTTTAACTAATGATTCGTGTGCCAAATCAGGAGACTCAGACAAATTTTAAACTCAAATTCTTCATCAAAATCTTCAAGAATAGAACATCCATAATAATATTTCTCAAGCTTGTCACGACATCTTTGCAGATTTGATTTTAATGTCAGAATTTTCTCTAAATTTTCTGATGTTAAAACATCGTTAACAGTTCCAGCGTATCATTAAATTCGCTTGATTTCAGTTCGATACATTAATGGAACTGATGATTTCCTTTTTGACATATTCTTTTTTTTTTACTTTAAAGAATAAAATTACGTACAGAATAGTTATGTACAGATATCGTGCAAACTCTAAACATATATTTAAAAAATCTGATGTGTACACCACATGACTTCCTTGTACGGAATATTAAATTATACTCATTTTTTTCTTGCATTTCGTTTAAAATTATTGGATTGAATTAAATCTACTTCGTCGACAGCGCATAAACCACAATAGAATAAATGCATTCTTTAAAATTCACTTTATTTACCATAGCGACACTCTGGCGCTAGGTTTACTTAACAGTATTATATTTCGTTCATATTATAACTCAGAATGCACAAAATTTATATCATTTAAAGAATTATCTAATCGTTGCCACATGTTCTGTTCAATAACTTTATTCTGTTAATTATAATAAAGCTAGAATGATGTAGAAGATTATGAAGAATGATGTAAAAGAAATTAAGCAAACAAAACAAAAAAGAAACAGTTTTTCACAGACGATTGAGTATTTCGCATTCAATTAATTCAGTTCTCACTTAGCGACAAGGTAAAATATCTGTATTAAAAATTACGAAGTAAATCTTAAACACTTATTTCCTCAAAAGTTCCAGAAAGGATTAAGCATGATTTAATTCGCAATGATAAATAAAGGTGTTATCTTTGTTGTTGCGAAGCTACGTTTCTCTAGATTGGCAACAAATCCATTAGTCTGCTGTTTCAAATGTAAACAAGCAATGGTCACCATCAAAAAAAAAAAAAAAAAAAAAAAAAGAGCTTAGCAGCACTTAAACAACTTTAAAATTGTTGATAATTCTAAAAATATTGCATATAGATTTATAAAGGCATAAAAACCTTAACCGGAAGATAAGAACAACATAAATCAATCATTTTTAAAGCAAAAAATGTACAATTTACAAACATATAAGAGTAAACAACCTGAGATCACTGAGCCGGGTAACAGAGTGGATATATATATAAATATATTTGTATACGTTTGGCGCGGCCGATTGCAACCAAAATACGAGGTGCACATCTACATGTTATAGTAGTCCTATATACAAAATTTAAACGTTCTGAGGCTACTCGTTTTTGAGTTATGCGAGATACGTACGGACATACGTTCGTACAGACGCCACGAAAAATTCTCTTCAGAATTAATTTTAAAGCAGTTTTAGAATTTTTTTGGAGGAAAAGAGTCTTTTATTCTGTTTTACGTACAGATATCACGCAAAAACATCGTTAAATTGCATTCGATAGCGGTGAAAATGGATATTTTCGTTGAAATATGCTGCCTGAAACTTTTCGCGATTACAATACTTCCTTTTTACTTCGTACAAGGAAGTAAAAATGTATAATAGACACTAGAGTTTAAGACTGAATTTTACATGAAAATAATCGGAATACAGCTAAAACTTCCTTATAGTTTTTCATTTACAACATAAAAATGCATACTTCAATTTTTTTTTTTTTTTGTAAACCTAACTTTATGGGAATACTAGAATTGGATTTTCGGCTTTTAATAATTATTCCTCACTGATGGCTCCAATGTTTGTTGGTAAGTTCAATAATTAATAAAAAAAACACGGCAAAATTAAAAAATACTTTACGACTTAAACATCTGGCGCGAGGGCAGCGCCATCTATAGAAAAAGATAAAATAAGGCATAAACATTTTTAAAACTGAACAGTGATCATGCAGTCTATAATTCTTTCATTCCTGTATTCATTCTGAGATTGTTTTAACCGAAACAAGTTTTATTTTAAATGCTCGTTTAAACTGTCATACAGAGTATCAAGCAAAGTCGAGGCATAATATTATTCTTTCATGGTTCCACAGTCAAGATGAGCAGTTTCACATTTCTAACTTATATCTTATATGCTACCTTACATCAGTCATTCAGGTGATTGCTCTACTTCGATAATACAGTTTGAACTAAAGGCAGTGAAAAATATTTGCAATCAAAATTTCATACATGGTTTTCTTGTTAAGTTTCATCATTAATTTTTGAATGTTAAATATTTATTTAGATTGACTGCCATATGCGCATGTCTCCATTATGTGTGTATATGTATGTATGCATGTATATGTGTACAGATTTACATGTATATTATTCATTCACATAAATTATTATTCATATATATTCACGTAAATTATTATTTCTTAAATAAAAAAGTATACTTAACTTTTTTTATTAAACATTATATTTATTATTTATTATATAGTTATTTTTCTTTTAGGCTACTGAAGATTAATCCAGCTGCATGGGTTAGATTTTCCTTGGCCCATTGCAGTATTACCTGGGTGAAAATTTTTGACAATGGCACTGTCAAGATAAGATGCATAGGAGACACTGGCCACCTTCTGCCAGATAAAATTTCTGAATGAATGAGAGATAAGCTAAAATTCTGTATTCAATAAAGTGTTTGCTTAGTTGTTTCATGATACGTCATCAGAATTTTCATAATATGTTTGTATTGCACGTTTTGTACTTATTAAACAATTATAAATTTATATTTTATTTTACTTCAAGTGCAAACCAGCATGGAAAAGGATATGTCAATTCAGAAATTTACTTATTCTTTTATACAAGAGTAATCTTTTATGCAAATTACTCTTTTATTCAAATTACTCTTTTATACAAGATGTCTTCGAAAGTGTGCAACAGTGTCACATAGCATATATGAGAGACAAAAAAAGGAACAAAATGTTGGAATAATTTCAATGCACTGCCTCATTCAAGGTATCTGAATTCAAAGTCTTGTGAGTCGCTTCTATATACGAGTAAGAAAGTGAAGGGCATACACGATATATCTTATTGACTGAACCAGTAGTGTGCTGGTAAATGTTTACACATGAGAAAAATGAAAGCAAATAGGAAAAGATAAGCAGCATCCAGGAAATGCGTTTCCTTCCGTTACTAAATATGGCAGAAATTTGGAAGCATAACCAGGTGGTGAGCAAAAAAAAGAATTCTTGTAAGTGTAAAATTTATCAGTGGTACACACGTTATTAGATCACGATACATTCTTTGTCAGTGAACAATGAAAGATACATTACACATTATTTTAAATTATTGGTTGATGCATCAAACAATACTTGAACACAGATGTTTTGTTTTCTACTTTGTATTACATAACTAACTTTATAGTAAGTTTTCAAACTGTCCATCATTGACATCAATGCGAATAACGTAGCATAGCTACATTATTTACTGTCTGACTCGTGCGGATATGCCTAGTACAGGGGTTCTCAAAAGGTGGTACGCAAGAGAAAAATAGGTGGTACGCAAAGAAGCAATGTAATTTTAACTATTAAATCAAAAAATTAAAACCCCAACATCTTGATTGAGTTTTTTCCCTAACACTCGTAAATTTATGCTATCTGAGCTTTGTTCAAGAGTGGTGGTGGTAGTAGTACTTTGTAGTGGTGGTACTAAAAGTTTTCAGTTTTTCTTTAGATGGTACGCGTTAGTCAAAAGGGTAAGAACCACTGGCCTAGTGTCATATTAAGGCTGTCAAATGCTGACTGAATGTATGCAATAAGCTCCTTGGTAGCCCAAAGGCTCTTTGTACACAGCAAATTTCATATGGATCATAAGAAGAAATCACTTGGTCTTACAGTCTTACTTGGTCTTGGTCACTGCAGATGAAAATATAGTTAGTATCACTAAAAATAATTCATATGTATTCCTTCATTTGCTTCGCCTGAAGTGAGGTCACCATTTATCTCCTGAAAGAAGCATTACTATAAAACCATTTCAGCAACTTCCTGGAGGCAACATCTAACACTTTCAAGTATTTTTAAGGCATCATGTAAACCTGTCCAATTTTCATCATTGTTTTTTAAAATTCTGCTTTTTAATCCCCGTGAGAAAGTATAAAAATATTTATTGAGAGTTTCATGTTTTTTATGCAAGAATACTTGCAAATTTAAAACTACACTGGTTATCATAAATTAAGGAAAAATCACGATTACTGAAAAAGTTACGTGTAGAATTTTATAAAACTAACCCACAATATACAACACATAGTAGTAAGGTGTCAAATAACATAAAATGAAATTACCATACAAATTATGGTAGTACAGAAATTAGCACATGTATAAAATGAAAAAATTGAAGATGTCCGTTTGTTATAGGAAAAGTACCTTCAATATGGAATGTGATCGCCTCTAGAAGCAATACAGCTATGTGTAATGCTTTCAATTATGTGGTCTATCAGTTCCATATTGCTCTTGCAAAGCAGTTGCAAGCAAGTAATGCCACTGTCAACTTATTTATAATTTTCTTTTAAATACAGCTTCTTGACATTTCACAAGTGGAAGAAATTATAATTTTGTTTGCCTTAATAAAATTTTAAAATGATATCAAATTATTTTGGGTGAATGCTGCTAACTTTTATCCTATCAGTTTGAGCCTGTAAGTTACATTGTCAAACTTTGTACATTGGATCTCAAAGATTTCTCATAGTTTTAATCAATTTGCTTGCTGTATAATATTTTTTGGAATAATCTGATAATTTTAAGAAATTAAAATATTCCTACTACTTACTGCTCATGCAACTTTCTGTTTGGAAATAATTAAATACAAAAACATTTAAAATGATGTTACCTAGAGAAGCTAAACATTCCTTGCGTTTAGAATATTTTTGAATAGATAGATTGCAGAAAAATAAATTTGCATTTTTGCAGGATTAGAATATTGAAAATACTATCAAAAATTAGTTGAACATTTTTTGTATTCACTAACTCTAATGCTTCAAACAATGAATTTATTGACAAAACCTCCAACAAAGCGTTCACTTTCTTTCTTTGTGCATTCTGTTGTATGTCTGTAAATGATCAGAAACCAATTTAGGAAAGCTGTACGAAAACATTAATGCTTAAGAAAAAATGAGATTAAACAGTAAAAGCAATGCACCTATTTTCATATTTTTTTCCTATTACAGTTCCAAATACATTAAGAGTATAAACAGAAAGCTAAAAAATTTTGAAATGCTACAGTTTTTGTGAGAAAAATAGATATTTCAACAGTCAGAAAATAAGAATTATCTGTGGAAGACAAATGCTAAAGCAATGTCTTTCACAATTATGGCATGAGAATAATACTTAACATTTTGTATATTGTGGTGTTGCGTGGCCCCGAACAGTAGTAGTGACTGCTATGAACTGGAAATTACACAAACTCTTAAGAAGGGTTTAACTCCCTTTTTACTCCACTTTAGAAGTTACAGATGCGTTCACTTGACGCTCACAAACTACGCCGACCCGGCGGTAAAATAAAAATAAGAAACTAAAAAAAAGAATAGTAACAAGTGACTAACTACGACGCTCTCTAAACGTAACTAACCTCACCGCGTTCTAAGATACCGCTGATAATTCAGCAAACTTCTGAATATTACGTTGAAAAATTTAACTATCTGCCGAGGCAAGCACACAGGCCGAAACGCGTGATTCTTCAATTTCTAACTAGCCACCTCCACGCTCGTAAAGCAAGAAAGCCCACTTTCGAACTCGCTTCCCTTCTATTTAACTCGGATTACTTCCACTGACAATTTGAATCCTTGCGCGTTCTACTAAAATTTACATACTCTGGCATTGGCAATTCCAGGGGAAAGTAAGGCTTGACAGGAAAGATAGTTTAAACTTAAAATAAATGTTAGTTAAAATAAATATAAACCCTACAACCTTATAATCTTTAGAATTTTCGATAGACAGCCTTACGCGCTGGAAAAGTACAACTAAAAATAAATAATCAGGATGAATAAATAACAAGGTCACTACCTACGAGGCTCTATAAACGTGACTAACTTAACCGCGTTCTGAGATACAGCTGAGATTTCAGCAACTTTCTGAATAAGAGTTGAAAGATTCAACTAATGCCGAAGTAGGCTCACAGGCCGAAACGCGCGCGATTCTTAAATTTCTACCTAGCAACCCTTCACGCTCGTGAATCAAGAAGCACACTACAAAACTCGTTTCCCTTCTATTTAACTCAAAAATACTTCCGCTGAAAATTTGAATACTTTGCGCGTTCTACTAAAATTTACATGCTCTGGCATTGGCAATTCCAGGGGAAAGTAAGGCTTGACAGGAAAGATAGCTTAAAATAAATATAAACCCTACAATATAACCAGCAACATTTAACTACATATTTTTGTCTGACAATAGCTTCATCTTCACACGCAGATATTCTTGAGCAATTTCTATTCATGTTATCATTTAATAAATATATACATTCTTTACAAAATAATTAAATTATTTTTAGAAGGGATCTTTTGCAGATTTCCTTTATTTCTTTTTTATGTTCATCAAAATATGCCCATGTTCGTATTTTATACTCAAATTTCCAAGTTTACCATTTTCTGCATTCCACATATTCTTTTAACTGTTTCGGTAGAAACAACGTTTCTTATTTTTTCTAACATAAGGAACTCTTTGGACAGGGCTTTTCTTGGAAAGAATGATAAAAAATATAGGAGTGGAAAGAGGTAATAAAATTCATAAAAACGGAATGTTTAATGAAATTCGCTGATTACATTAGCTTTAAAAATGTATAGAATAATAAGAATATCTAGTATTTAAATTACGTAAAAAATAATACATAAGTGGAATTGCCGAAATAAGTCTAGTCCTTTGAGAAAAAAGGCGAATTACTGGCAGAGCGGTAAATTCGCTGAACCCCGGTAATTCAATCCGGGTTTGAATCCCGGAAACAGGCTGAATGCAAGGGCGTGTTCGAGGTTTTCTCATGTGTAACGAAGATGTGATCCACTTTCCCTTACAAAGTCCTTCACGAAGGCATTCCTCTTTAGTGTGCTTTGCCACAGTGAAAAAAAATACGAGAGAACCTTTAAGGAAAAATTTGTTTGTTAACGTGTAGGGATCATCTTAAAGAATAAACACTTTTGAGATGATTTTCAAAAAAAGTATGGGAAAATAGAAGGAATTAACTTTTTTATTAATATCAGAATAGGTAAACATATTTTCACATACTTTAGATTTAAATAAAAGTGTTTATTTCCTTTCTTCATCGCGTTTGCTAAAGTTATTATAAACTTACCATTGTCTTTAAATCGGTGGCAATTGAAGTTTTTCGCAGTTTAGTGTTTGGACTATTTATTCATGATATTTTAATCTCATGAATGAACTCAACCCTGGCCAGGAATATGTTTTTATAAAGGATAGTAACAGCATCATCCATGTAATGTTAATAATGTATAAATATATTTTAGTATGAAAAGACTTTCCTGTACTGTTATCTATTTTTTAAATACCTGGAAGAAATTTTATTATTTTCATCTAGAGAGAAATTCCTTCCACTTTCCATCAAAAAAGAAAAAAAAAATTCCGAAGCATTTCATTACTACTCTGCAACGCATAAGATGTTTTATTTATCTTTGATATTTTTAAAAAATCGTTGCTCAATACAGCAAAATTTA